AATTTGGAAAGTTTACTAGACAAGGCTTGAAAAGTGTTTAGTAACAGGGAGGAGGAAAAGAATACAGGCCCATGTCAAGGAGGATTGACAGGGACCTGGGGAATTTACCCTAGCAGATCCGGAGCTTTTTGGAACTAAGTGGGATCCGGAGCTTTTTGGAACTAAGTGGGAATATCATATCCCTTGGCATCCACAAAGCTCTGGTAAAATCGAATGAATGAACGGGAAAATTAAGAAACAATTGACCAAACTGATGATTAAAACTAAGATGAGCTGGGTAAGATGCCTTCCGATGGCCTTATTAAATCTGAGGACACAACCCCGGACAGATACAGGAATCTCCCCTTTTGAAATGCTGTATGGGATGTCCTATGACCTGGAAATACCAGCCAAACACCCCAAAGTTGAAGAAAGAGTATTACAAGAATATATCATTGAATTGATGAAGCAGAGGCGAGAACTAGTAAAGAAAGGATTAGTAGTACAGAAACCACCCCTAGATATAGCAATACACAGGGTCAAGCCAGGAGACAAAGTGTTGATTAAAGCCTGGAAAGAATTCTCCCTGATCGCTCGTTGGGAGGGACCCTTTTTTGTGTTGCTTACCACAGATAGTGCGGTTCGAGCGGCCGAACGAGGTTGGACTCACACTACCAGAATAAAAGGACCTGTTCAAGAATCTCGTGGGAGGCAATAGGGAACCCTGACAACCTGAAGGTCACCTTCTGGAGAAAGATTGATGAGTGAAGCCATCACGCGAAGGACTTAATGAATGGGACTGCATTCTGCCCAATTCCTGGTTGTATATGTTACCCTTTTGTTGTTTTAAATGTAAAGTGTGTAAGGACAATTGGTGGGTTCATTGTAGAGAGAGAGATTTTACCCCAAATATTTGTGAAGAGTGTTATTTGGCTAAAAGAGAATTAACAGAAGTAACCCTTAAATACGCAGTAAAAACCAAACAAATTGTCTGGAAGTCTAAAAAGTGGTGGGAAGTATACACAAAAGGCATAAATCCAAAGCTTGGTTGTCTACACTCTAAGGAGTATAGGGAGGCCAATCCGGAAATAACTAACGTGGTGTGCTGAAAACAAGTAAAACACCTGGCGTGTTTAGCCCTGGAAATAAAGAATAAAAATTGGGAGGCATATGACACTCGCAAAAGGAGAGAAGGGAAGACCCCTGAAGACTACAACTGCTGCCGAGAAGATAAAACACCTTGCTGCTCCAAGCAAGGGAGTAGGCAAAGGAGGCAGAGACGTAAGGAAATAGTGGGGAACTAAAACGTTCAATACAATTGCGAGAAAGCCCCCTAAATCTAGGTCCGGGATGGCACAATACACTCGAACCCAAACCTCCCAAATTAAAATACCTGAGAATAGCTACCACCACTCTGAAATGGTTACCATCAACCCACCAATTCTCCCAAAATGGGTATTAATACTTTGGATATGCTGCCCCTTAATGGCCTCAGCAAATGAATACCACCAACCTTTTAAATGGACTTTAAGTCGATTCGGAGATCAGAAAATTATCGCAACCCAGATAACATCAGGGGGACCAAGCTTTACTTCCACTCTATGTCAGCTGGTCCCGAGGCCCCGATGCTGGGAATACATGGGATTTTATATGTGCCCTAGTTCAAATCCTGGAAAGGGGTACTGCAACTCCCCTAATCAATATTACTGTAGTTATTGGGGTTGTGAGACCATAGCCCCTAGTTGGATACCGGGGGACGGTATAGATAAATACCTAAAGGTCCAGTGGGGTCCATATGGGTGCATCCCACCGCGAGGGGGGGAAGGACGTGGGAACTGTAAATACCTCTTTTTAAATGTTACCCAGCCCATGGATAGAGGGTGGATAATTGGAAGAATGTGGGGAATAAGGTATTGGGAACCTGGAACCGATAAGGGAGGAAGGATTTTCATAAAAAAGGAAAAAGTAGAAGACCCTCCCCAAGAGGCTGGTCCCAATAAAATCATTAATAGACCTAAAATAAGGACATTACCCTTACCGAAGTCGACTCCGGATCTGGCAAACGTTACAAAAACCCAAAAATAACATAAGTAGTGTTATAATACCCCCTACCGGTAGGAAGGAGGACCCTCCTCTTTGGAAAGTAATGCAAGCTACATATGATACCCTGAATAGAACCAACCCCAAATTAACTGATAAGTGCTGGTTATCTTATGATATAAAACCCCCTTTTTATGAGGCAATAGGGGTAAATGGTACGTATAATTTTAGCACTAGAAACGCTCCTCCCCAGTGTTCCTGGGGAGATAGGAAGAAGGGAATAACCATGCAACACGTCTCTGGAACAGGAGCCTGCATAGGCAACATACGGGGACCAAAACGAAGGCTTTGCAGCTCTTTCCTTCTCACAATGGGAAACACTGGCAAAATGTGGGTCATTCCTTCAGAAGGGACCCGGTGAATACGTTCAAGAACAGGCCTTACTCTGTGTATATCCCTAAAGGTGTTTAATGCTTCTAGCGAATATTGCATCCAGGTTATCATTGTCCCAAGAATATTATATCATTCAGAGAAAGTAGTCTATGAGCACTGGGATATAGGAACACCCCATATCATAAAAAGGGAGCCCATAACTGCCATGACAATAGCCACATTGTTGGGTATTGGGGCAGTGGGGGCAGGGACGGGAATAATGTCTCTTATCCAACAACAACAAGGTTTCAGCTCCCTGAGAGCAGCGGTAGACGAGGATTTGGAACGAATAGAAAAGTCAATTACCGCATTAGAAAAGTCTCTAACTTCACTATCAGAGGTAGTGTTACAAAATAGAAGGGGAATGGATATTCTTTTTCTACAGCAAGGGGGACTCTGTGCTGCTCTAGGAGAATGTTGCTTTTATGCTGATCACACAGGAGTAGTACGAGACACTATGGCTAAACTATGGGAAGGTCTGGAAAAACACAAAAAGGAAAGGGAGGCTCAACAAGGATAGTATGAATCGTGGTTTAATCATTCTCCCTGGTTAACTACACTGTTGTCAACCATTGCCGGACCTTTAATGTTGTTGATGCTCACTGTAACCTTTGGGCCTTGCATCTTGAACAGAGTGATTAGATTAGTAAAGAGTAGATTAGAGGCGGCCCATTTAATGCTGTTAAAAAGGCAATACGAACACCTAGAGGATGATGAAACCAGTAAAGGAGAGATGATAAGTGAGCAATGGCTTGGGGGATGAACGAGCAGACAGCAGGACGCCTGAGAAAGACTTCGGCCTTCATCCCAATGACCACCGAGAGGCAGACGACGACCACCTAGCAACTAGTCGCGCAAGCGCAGACACAACACGGAAGATACCAGGGGCCATGTACGCAGGAAACAGGAACTCTATAAAAAGGGGGGTTGCATCCGCTATCGGTGCGAACTGTTGGCGGAGCACTGGCTCCCCGGTCACCCAGCGCTGTCTTGTTCTTTTATCGCTTGCTAATAAATTGACTTTGATTAATGAAAAATTGGCTTCTCAAGTTGATTTGAGCATGAGCGTCTATAACAAATACATTTATTTACTCTCTCGTAGTAAGAGTACTGAAATCACTGGAATGCCAGGAGAAATTGTGAAACTTCACCTTAGAATGGTATATTTATGTTTATTTAATATGTCAAATATAAGATCATCATGAAATACCTTTTCCAGAACTTCATTATAGCTTAACTACTACTGCTTAGCTATTTTATACAAGTACCTGTTCTGGAGGTCATCTAAGTTTGATGTATGTTGTGTACGTACTGGTGACATGGGAAGCTCTAGGTTGTACCTCCTAACAGGTATTTTTACATCTTCAGTGATATCAGTGTGGACTGGCTTCCTCTTGTTCTCTGCAATGAAAGGAATTGGAATGTCAGCGCTGGACTTGGAGAAAGATTTGAGCTTCCTGAATTTTCACTAGAGTACAAAAGCTGTTGTTTTATGTTTCTTAATCCATTTAAAGCCGTATTTTTTTTCTTCTTCGTTATTAGCAATGCAAGAGCTCTGTTCTAAATGGCGTTCTAGTGTAAAATTATTTACAGCCAGCTGTTGTGTGTACACAGGCTGTGTTGCCCTCCCCAGTCACCTTCTAATTTTCCTGAGCATAGGACAACAAATTCTCCACAATGATGTGGTTCATGAATATGTCACAGAGGACAAGAGTTAGGACTCGAGTTGTAGAGATGGTTTTTTTAGGAGCCTAATGATGGATTTTAAGAAAGATACTCTGGGTACAACTGACGGAGTGTTCCAAATGCCCCGCAAAAGTTAGGAAAAAAGAAGTGGAATACAAATGGACTTGTTTAATGGCAAAGGGAAAAAGAAATGGATGTAGGGTAAAATTAATGAATGGAAAGAGGAAGTTGCACAAGTATACAAGGCTTTAAAGGTGAAGTAGGCAGTTGCCAAGATTATCGGATTCCTCTTATGTCCTGACTTTTTATTCAATCTTAATTTTTGTATTTACTTATATTTTTTATTTTAGAAATAAAACAACACTTATTTGAACATTAAGTTGGAAGAACAACAACTAAAACAATAGCAGTAACAGTTATGGATAACTGATTCTGTTAACTGTGAAGTCAGAACACTCTAAGCTCACCGGTGTTGTCTTTTTTTGTTGATATCTGGTTAACAACATATAGATTGAGGAGATCTAAACTGACTGCTGAACTTTTAGGAGATGATTCTTCCAGAAGCTTCATCTTTGATTTAAGTTTCTTCTTTTCAAAGAATTCCTAAATTTTTTAAAAGAGAGAATAAGTTCTTGACAGAAGCTTCAATCACATGTTAATAGCATATATAATTCTTTTGAAATTAGCATGCAAGACTTAGTAAACCATTTCTAACAATAAAATCACATGATTAAACCTCTCTGAATTCTCAAACCTTGTCTACTGTTATTTAGCTTAATTTTATTTCCTTGAAAAAGACTGCAACTATAATTTGGTCATATTAAAAATAAATCATTGTTGATGCCAAAAGCATAGTCCTTAACATTCATGCCTCAGATTTTGTGCATGATCATTAAAAATGTATCTTTAAAATAAAACACATAGCAAAGTTCTGTGAGAAAAAAAGTCTTAAAAATTTTTAAACTTGGACTTTTTAGGCAGCTTATAAGCTAGTAGGCAAATAAATCAGCAAGATTGCACACACACAGCCGTCTGTAATGACACAAAGAGTTTATTGTTCTCCAAATTTGTCTTCCTCAACACAGAAATTAGTCTTGTGACCAAAAAAAGAGAGAAAAGCAAAGAAGAAAAATCTCTAAACTGGAATTTGGAAAGGCTTTTTGTTGCAAGGAACAAAAAGACATGACTGACACTTTGATTATATCAGGCAGATAATTCTGGAAAATTTAGGAAACAAAAATCTCCATTTTGTAGGAGACTATTAATAATCATCCTAAAATGATGAATAAATAAAACCAGTAAGATTTCTTTAGTTTAATCACAAGAGTGATACTGAATACTGCAGGCTATGCCAAAACACAAAATAGCATTGGCTTTACTTCTGAAATGTAATTCCTCTCGTGATTGCAGGTTACATGTAACTAATATACCCAGCATGTTCGCTGGTAATGATTTTCCAGTCTGATTTATTATATCACAACCTTTAGCTTTCTAGGATGTTATCACCTATGGAAAGTATCTGCTCTTCAGTTAAGAATAAGTTAAGCAGTAAGGTTAACTCAGCCTGTGTACAAATGAACACTTCAAAATTCATATTGCTTTGAAGTCCACACCCCCAAAATCTATCCATTCCCTTCAGTGTCCCAGATATTTTCTTCCCATCACCTCTAAATTACTAAATTGCTATTAATTGTGTAATAGCAATTACAAAATTACCACTGTATGTAGTAATTTAGTACTAAATTACTAAAGCCAATCCTGTCTTGGATCCTTTCCTGTTTTCTTTCCTCCACTGAAGCAAATTACATAATTACAAATTAAGTGGCGTAGACCAATAAATCCCTGAGAAAACAGGTATTTTGAGAACTCATAGGCCTCCAGGAGACTGGGAAAGTGATGGGGGCAACAAGCTGCTGGTTGTTCCCACATTCCCTTAGGTAAAGTTTTTCATTTTACATATTGTCTCCATACTGTCAGCCTGGTTTTCCTCAGGGGTACCAGCTTCAGTGGTGGAGCTTCCTTATACTGTCTATTTTTTCCCAGCTGCTGAGGAGGAACAGACTTCTCTTACTATGGTTATAACTATCTTCTCTTACTGTTATCTTTCTCTTCCTGTTTGAAATGTCTTCTGCTATGCCAGGGATAAATTTGATTCTATTATTTCACTTTCAGATTCAAAATACAAATAAGCTGCCCTACTTTTGCAAATGCCAGAATAAAGTACTTTAATGAGCCTAACATTCTTTTGCACAGCCCGGAAAAATAGCTGTGTGTATGCGTGTTGGGCTAGCTGACCACGTGGTTGTCACTGTGAGGCTTCAAGCAATCCCGTGTGTCAGCACATACCAACAAAACATAGTAACAGAAGTAATTCAGTAAAACTTCAATTGGGCACAATCATTCATTCATTCATGCCTTCTCCTACTCCTTCTTCTCCCTGCTGGAATTCAGTGTGGTAAACCTAGAACAAGACTTTGTCGCTAGAAGTTACATGCAGTCAGGCAAACACATTACAAGTGTTACGCTACAGTTTTGAGTCTCTCCAAATGCTTTGAAAGTTTTTCCTGAGTGAATCAACTAAGCATTTATATAACAATATAAACCCCAAGACAGCTAGAACTGTTTACCTTTTGCTTTCTCCTGTCCTGCTTTAATATGACTCTGCTCCTGAAAGATGTAAATAATTATTTTTTCAATCGTAAGAGTATAATCTTGAGTCATGGCTTGAATTTCTCACCAATGGTATTGAGCATTTAGGACACAAATATGTTATGTTATGGTATCATACAATCATAGAATCATAGAATGGTTTGGGTTGGAAGGGACCTTTAGAGGTCATCTAGCCCAAGCCCCCTGCACTGAGCAGGGACATCTTCAACTGGACCAGGTTGCTCAGATGCCCGTCCAGCCTGTCCTTGAATGGGTCCTTTCCAGGGGTGGGGTCTCCATGACCTTTCTGGGCAATCTGTTCCAGTGCTTCACCACCTTACGGTAAAAAATTTCTTCCTTATATCACTCTAATCTACCATCCCTTAGTTTAAAGCCATTATTCCTTGTCCTATCGTAACAGGCCCTGCTGAAAATATTTTCCCCTTCTTTCCTATAGGCCCCCTTCAGGCACTGAAAGGCTGCTACAAGGTCTCCCCGGAACCTTCTCCAGGCTGAACAGCCCCAACTCTCTCTGCCTTTCCTCATAGCAGAGGTGCTCCAGCCCTTGGAGCACCTTTGTAGCCTCCTCTGGACCCGCTCCAACAGGTCCACATCCTTCTTGTGCTGGGGGCTCCAGAGCTGGACGCAGGACTCCATGTGGGCTCTCACCAGAGCAGAGTAGAGGGGCAGAATCCCTTCCCTTGCCCTGCTGGCCGCGCGTCTCTTGATGCAGCCCAGGATACACTTGGCCTTCTGGACTGCAAGTGCACACTGATGGCTCATGTCCAACTTTTCATCCACCAGTACTCCCCAGTCCTTCTCAGCAGGGCTGCGCTCAATCCCTTCATCCCCCAGCCTGTATTGAAAGGGAGGGTTGCCCCGACCCAGGTGCAGGACCTTGCACTTGGCCTTGTTGAACCTCATGAGGTTCACACAGGCCCACTTCTCAAGCTTGTCCAGGTCCCTCTGGATGGCATCCCATCCTTCTGGTGTGTTAAATGCACCACCCAGCCTGGTGTCATCTGCAGACTTGCTGAGGGTGCACTTGATCCCACTGTCCATGTCATTGATGAAGATACTAAACAGTACTGGTCCCAGTACGGACCCCTGAG